TGCTTTGCACAGGTTCATTTTAACCACTGAGTCATGGACATACTCAGTACCTTCAAAGTGTTTTCATTGAGATGTCCTATGTATAAAGCTCGCTGAGCCAGGCTTTGGCGCACATGCTCTTCTACACAGGATAAAGCATCGTAGCCCATGCCTCTTCATCCTAGTTCTCAGACGACTCATGCCAAAAGCTAAGAATTGCTCACACCTTTAATCCCGAGGAATGGACCTTTCTCTGCCTGGGCTGAGTGTTTATTAGCAGAAAGAGGCAGGGAGCCAGTAACCCAGCTCCTGCCAAAACTATTTCCCCTCTGGACTGAACACTGTGTGCCGAGCACCCGCCCTGAGTGTGACTTCCTCACTCACCATTATTTCACCTCAGCTCTTGTGCAGAAAGACGCCATGCACTCCCCCCTCCCGTGGCACTGGCACAAACCCTGACTGCACGCAGTCCCTCTCCCGTCTATGTTTCTCGTGTGTACATGCTTCATAAACATGCTTATGTCAAATTTGCCTTTCCTGTAGTCTAGATCCTTTTATTGTCTCAGAGGATGACTTGGGTAGAAAAGGAAAAACAGTACTGTCAACATTATAGTTGTGACGTTTACACTCTCAGATCCCATCAGGTGCAGAGATTTTCCTGCTCTGGGAAAATAATCTAAGGGCCAACAGAATGAAAGCAATCGTCACTGGAGCGGTTAACCCTTTACACACTAGCCGCCACCAGTCACCATTCATTGTTCCAATACTGACCTTTTATTAGAAATGCCTGTATCACCTGCTGCCATGCCCAAATAGGAATGTAACAGAGTTTGCAATACGGTAGCTTCTTCAAAGGAGCATAAATACTTGAATTTCTGCTTAGAACATTCAGATTGTTTAAATACCAGTTTAATGAAAATAGGAGAAAAACAATGAAAGAAAATATTTACAGACGAGAAGAAAAAGTAAGATAAACGGAATTAAATGCCCGCGGTCCGGTCAGAAAAAACGCTGCAAACATTTTTACTGACCTGACCGAACCAGACTGCAATGCAGGCATTGATATGCCACGCGTTCCCGTGCGGCCGATCGCATTGCGGCCGGAGGGCATGGCTGCGGTGATATTCACATCAATGCACCACCACGCTCCCTCCCGCCCTACAACAAAATGAGCTGGCCGCAATGCGATCCAGTGCTTTCAGGCCAGAATCGGGCCGGAACGCACTGTGGCTGGTGTGAACTAGCCCTTAAGGAAATATTTACATGAAAGTTTTGTGCCCGCAGTGCCTCACATTTTCCATTTTGCTGCATGAAATTGCATTTTGAGAAGAAATCCCATTCTTTACTATGTGGCTGGTTCACATCTATGTGCTCCAGTTTAGTATTTTTTTGTTTTTTTTAAAAGAAAACCTATCTGGGCTCATTCACACTGGTGCACGTGTGTGACCAACGTGCATTAATAGATGTGAATCGGCCATTAGTACTGGGGAAAATTTGTTTTGTTGTACTTGAAATGGGAAAATGGACATAACTGGGATGGAGGTTTTCTCTTCAGGAGCAGGAATGTGATTTCTTTGTGGAATGTATCCTACAAGGCTTTGCAGTACGTGACTCCCAATAGGGCTCTGGCATACAATGTGGTTTCCCCATTTAACTCTTGCAGATGTTCAGTACAAAGGGAACACTTCGCTAGTGTACAAGTCGGTGCCTATTGGGTCATGGTGGCAATTTATAACCACTCCTCCCCTTTAGTAAATCAAACATTGATTTTTCCTTTATATTCTTGTGTCTCTAGAAGGCTTTTTTAAAGAAGAACTTATGGATTGTATAAAACCCACACTACAAGGGTTAATGGCTCATTTTGTCTAGGGGGTGCAAATAAAGCAGATTTACTCACCTGATCCTCAGTCCCGCAGTAGTCAGGGCTCTCTCCCACTCACCAGTCTCCCACTCTCCCAGTCACCTCTCTCCCACTCCACGTCCTCATGTCTAATGTAAGGCAATGCACCTGCATTAGACGTGATGACATCGTCAGTCCTTAGACCACCACGGCCCTAGACCAAAATGAGCACCTAACCCCTGCAGTGCGGGGGTAGCCCCACTACAAGGGTACGTTTTGTAATTCCTGGAGTTCCTCTTTAGGGCCGCCTCAGCGTTTTTGCAAGTGGTTTTGCCAAGGGTGTTTTTGTACATTTGTTGCACATTTTTACTCGCGTTAGACGCACATATGAAAATGCGCGTCTTGACTGGCAGATCAAAAACATTGCGGTCAATGTGTAACGCACATAGAAATATGGGTCACCCATTTTTCAGATTTTTCCATTGCAGTCTATCCAAAGAAGGTCAGGAACTTTTTTGAGCAGCTGGCGTTTTGCTCCTTGCGACACACTGCACAGGTGTGAATGGGAGCCATTGAAATGAATGGGAATTTATGTCCTGGCGGCGCCATCCGCAGTCACTGCGAGCACCCCCCACTACAAGGGACATATCGGTAAGGAGTGCGACAAGGATAGTACTTACAGTAGAAGAGGTCGCACGCTGCCCATACACCAGCCGATTATCGTCCGATCGCGGGATTTCCCACGATTATCGTCCGATAATCGGCAGGTGTAGGGGCACCTTTATATAGTAATATAATACTAGAATGCACATTGGAGTTGGATGTAGATATATAGCGCTGGATCTCTGATACACTCTCCTATACAGGGTCCATAGGGTAAGCAATATAAATGTATCTAAATTCAAGAATAAATATTGCAACTTACCAGTCCTTAGATGTGGTGGCTGCATTAGTTTTCCTATTTTAGTTTTTTTTCCCTTTATTTTCACCTGGCAATTAGTAATGGGCTCGGGCGTGTTCGCAAGCGCCTCGTGCCGAGCCCGCTGGGAAGCTGTCAGTGCGCAGCGCCAATCCCAGGCACTGAGACATTTCCCGATCTCTGCAGCTGCGGACCGGGAACATGTCTCAGTGATTGGCCCTGCGCGCTGACGGCTTCCTGGCGGGCTCGGCACGAGGCGCTTGCAAACACGCCCGAGCCCATCACTACTGGCAAGTCTGCCAGTAACACACTTCCTGTCATAGGGTGACAACACTCACTCATCGTCTCTTAGGAAGAGCAGTGTTGTCACACTAGTACAGAAACTATGTTACAAATACAGAACACCTCCTCTCCTCATCTCCATGCAAAGAGGGGAATGCTCTGTAGTCCTCAGTGATAATTGGGAACAATGTAACTTCTAGTACAGAAAGTTATCAGTTCACTGGATTTCTGGCAGGATCAACAGGAATTCATTAGCACTTATTGGACAGATTCAGCAAAATGCTTTCAGGTATATTCTATGGAAATAAGGAAGCAATATAAGTTCATTTTAATGTATAGTATAGATATATAGATATATGATTGATCTGTATTGATTGATCTGTATGACCTTACAGTCCCTGATCCCGGTGCATTTTTGGCAGGTAGAGCTAAATGTTAGTGCTGCATTGCAAGCAAGTCAGCACCTTATGCTCAACATCCTCCAGACATCAGTCCTTGTAGGCCCTCTGTCTCCACAATTCCTTGCTACCATTGCCAGGGCATCAGTCATGTGACCTGGCAGCGCAGTGCTGCAGGATCTAATAAACTCTAATTGGAAGGCATTTAGTTTGCTAAAGTACCGTGTTTCAAACAATTGCCCTTGTTTCATAAAATGCCGTTTTCACCTTTTTACCCAATTTTTGTTTTCCATCTCAGTGTTGATCTCCTGCTTCCTCTTTCAGCCACTTCCTGTCTACATGCGCTCTCTCTAGAGCTCGGCTGCACATCATTGCTCTGCACTGGCTTCCTGAAAGTGAGAACGATGGACCGTGGCTAAGCAATGTGCATTGACACGGCTGCTTTTAGTGTCCACCAGGGGGCGCGTGTAACAGAGTGGCAACGCAGGACCACAACTAGGAGACAGTTGTCATCCCTAACAGGTTGTGTCTGAACAAGCACCTCTGTGGTGGGATCATCAGGGATTAGTTGAAAGCTGAACTCCAGAATAAACAGTGTCTTAATCAGTGGAGGGGAACTCCAGCCCTCCAGCTGAGCTTTAACTACAAATTCCAACATGCCTCTTCCTCTGGGAGTCATGTCTGTAACTGTCAGTCTCGGAATGCCTCATGGGACCTGTAGTTCCACAACAGCTAGAGGGCCGGAGTCCTGTGGCTTTTTCCTTGGTGAGTTTTTTGTGTATTTCTTCCTGATCTGTGCAGTCATCCAGTAAGCTTCCTGTAATAAAGACCGCTTACTGCTGCTCTCTCTCCTTGTGCAGGGTGACTGGTCTTGTCTCCGCCCCCTCCTGTAATAAAGACCGCTCACTGCTGCTCTCTCTCCTTGAGCAAAGTGACTGGTCTTGTCTCCGCCCCCTCCTGTAGTTTTCTGCAGGCAGCCTGTAGTGGGTGGGGCCTGCTGGGTCCCTCCCACAGCTCTGCTCTCTGCACAGGCTATGTACAGCACTTCGATGATGTCACTGCTACTTTACAAGATAATATCTAGTCTTTCAATGATATAGGTGGTATTACATCCTATTGACAAATATATATTGATATTCAATCTTTTGTGCCTGGTGTTCCACTTTAATGAGATGAACACATATATGAAATCTGCATGTGTGCTTTCTCTGCTCTGGGTGGGCAAGCTTTCATTGGAGCTGAATCACACAGGTGTTTTGCTTAGTGACATTTTAACGGTGTTCCTTGTTTTTTTTATTTGAATGATCAGACGGGGCTAAAAGTGTATTGGCCGCCATCGTGACAACGCAGGGGTTCCGAGAGGCTCGCCCCCCATCCCCTGGCAGAAAGAACTGTTGTTTTGAACTTGTGAGCCTGTTTTTATAATCATACAGCAAAAGAGTCCCCTTTCCAGAGCACATTCTCCCTCTCTCCCCTACATGGAAACATGCAGCCAGCGCAGGCACACCCCCTCTAGGAGGATAGGAGGATGAGGTCATTGGATTCAAGGGCTGGACAGAGAGGCGGTTACACTCCACCAGAAAAAAAAGAGGACTGTTATAAACCTGCACTGTGCAAGCTGCTAACTCAGTGGTACTAGGCTTAGCACTGAGTACAGGAAGCCCTACAGCAGCGGAGCTCAGCCTTGCATCTGAAAGGGAGGAATTGTGCACGCAGCACCATGTCTGTCTTGGCCAACATCGCTCTGCTAACACTTGTGCTGGTTATTGGCGACTTCTTCGACTCCGCAGAGAGCTGCACATGCGCCCCGAGCCATCCCCAGGACGCTTTCTGCAACTCCGACATCGGTAGGTACCACTCACTGTTATGTGTTTAATGTAGCCAATGACAGTTAACAAATTGGGTTGGCACTAAACTCAGGAGTACAATCATAAAAATGCATTCAAGTATCTTAAATATTAACAAAAATGTATCTTATTTGTGTATCACTGGGCTGTAGATCCTCAAATCATCTCTGAATTGGTGCTGACACTGTCCTTCCTTCTGGATGGTGGCTACTCTTGTTCTCCATGGTCCCGGTGTGTGTTGTAAAGTAGTCACCGCATCAAGCTTGCTCCTGTGATGGACTACAATCTCAATACAAATTAGATAACTAAACATGAGATTGTAGTCCACCACAGGAGTGAGCATGGAGCGGTGGTTACTTTACAACACACACAGGGACCATGGGGAAGAAAAGTAGCCACCCTCCAGAAGGAAGGACAGTGTCCGCACCAATTCAGAGATGATTTGAGGATCTGCAGCCGAGTGATACACAAATAAGATAAATTTTTGTTAATAGTTCGGGTACTTGAATGCATTTTCAAGATTTCACTCCTGGGTTTAGTGTCACTTTAATTTTCGGGGTCAAGCTGTGATCCCATCGTGACATTGTAAAATGCTATAATAACAAAAATGTTTAAATAAACTCTAGGAAGGTATTAAAAGTAGCAAGGATGCAATATTTCATGACTAAGGATGAGCGAAGTGAAATAGAGTTTGCTGCAAAGTTACTGATTTGGCTTTACATGAAATTTCAGGGAATTTGGCTATTTGACTCCAATGCATTTTGTCTTCAAGTCAGCGAAGTTGGGTTTTCTTTTAGCCAACATGAAGCCAAAAGTCAATTGCATACTAAGTTTTCTGACATTTTGCTGAAACTCAATTTCACCTATATCACGTCGCTCATCCTTATTCATGAAACAGATGTGATGATGATGTTGACTGATGTCCAAGACCAGTGTGAATTTCGAGGGACAAATGTCACATCAGCATAAACTCTCCCTGGAAATTAGAGGTCAGCGGACGGCTCCCAATAAAACGAAGAGCAAGGTGCAAAGTGCAGTAACCCATGGCAGGCAATTACATTTCTACTATTCATTGGTTGCTGTAGGTTTGTCCACTTTGCACTTTATCTTTATTATCTGACGTGGTTCACTAACAAAGTCTGAATGTGTTTTGTAAAGTTCATCCATGGATCCTTGGAAATGGAGTGCAATTGCAGGCTACTACTAAAGGGTGCATGTTGGCCAGGGTGCAACGTGGGGCATAGAAACTTTAAAAAGAGGTGCTGACGTATCATGGTTGCGGGAAGGTGCTAGTGTTTCATCATTGCTGGAAGGAGGGGTGCTGGTGTATAGTCATTGCTTGAAGGAGGGGTGCTGACTTTTCCTCAATGCAGGAAGGAAGGGTGCTAGTATATCATGGTTGTAGTAAGGTGGGGTGCTGGTGTATCACCTTTGCCGGAAGCAGGGGTGCTGGCTTATCATGATTGCTGTAAGGAGGGTTGCTGGAGAAACTAAATGATGGAAGGAGGGGTGCTTGTGTAATCACCTCTGCTGGAAGGAGGGGTGCTGGTGTATTACATTTCTGAAAGCAGGGGTGCTGGTTTATCATTTCCGAAACGGGGCGCTGGTTTAATATTGCTGGAAAGTGTGTGCTGCTGAATTACCATTGCAAGAAGGAGGGGTGCTGGTGTATCACCATTTCTGAAAGGAGGGGTGCTAGTGTATCACCATTTCTGAAAGGAGGGGTGCTGGAGTATCACTGTTGCTGTAAAGTTTCTGCAATCTGTGTATCCTTAGGACAATCTTTTCATATGATAAGCTATTAGAATCGGGTGTAATAAGCTTCTGCTGGGCAAGGGCACAACTCCAGAAACTTTATAAAGAGGTAAAAAGAAGAGACCGATATAATGGAGGATTTCAGTGCCAATACGCAGATTGTAGAAAGACTTTCTATCATGTTAAAGATTGACGCTAAGTCCCCAGTGACAGGCTGAGTGTGTTGGAGCAGCAGCACACCAACAGTGATCAAAACCCTTTGTTGTGTCTTATGAATAGTTTCATAGTATCCCCTTGTGGAAATTGGGATTACCAGTGGCCCCTTGTCTGAGGCAGTTTATCTCAAATGTATCTGTTTGTCCCCAGAGCTTCCTAATAATAGTGTGTAAATGTTTTCCAAACAATATAAATAAAGATGAAAATATCTGGAACTGTTTGTTATTTTGCAATGTGATTACTTTAAAGGGGCACTGCCCAATCTTCTGGCTTTCCTGACCATGAACTAGCTTGCATATCAGCAAAGTTCAGGAAAAGTTAGACATTCTTCTCTGCAGGCTTGTTCTGAATTGTGGAAGGAGGATCAATATGACACTCGGCCAGCTAGCATTGCACAATGCCAGTTATTAAGATTCTAAATGATAGTTAGTGATGGAGTTCTGTACACTGGTGTCTGAGTGGGTTGGAGCCGTGCAGAGATGTCTGTGGGTACCCTGATGGAGATGTTATTTTCCCGGCTGCGTTGAGCCTACACTGTACATGAAAATAGTTATTGACACAATGCCCGGTGTGGATTCTTCGCGGGCTTCCAGCTAGAAGGGAACATTTTGCATACTGATTTCACTTTGTTAGCTCACTAGATCCATCTTAATTCCCAGCATTTAGTCTCCATCCATACCTAGGCGTCGGCATTTCCGCGCATTTTTCCGCATGTCTTTCCCTTGCATGGCTTGCGTGTTTTGCATTTTTAAACACGTTAGATGCGCATAGACAAAGACACGCGTTTTATTGAGCAGATCAAAATGCAATGTTGTGAATGAAAAAATGTGCGTGCGAACGTGCAAAACGCTTGTGTTGTGCGTTTAATGGGCTTTCATTGAAGTCTATGCGGCCGAACATGCTGTAATCTGCCTGAAAGCAGCTTTTCCAGTGTTTGGCATTTTACAGCTTGCGGCAAAACTCTCAGGTGTGAACAGGGGCTATGGAAATGAATGGGATTTCTAGTGATGAGAGTTTTCTCGCACTTAGCTTTGAGTGTCAAAACGCCCAGGTGTATTTGTGTCATTATAAATCGGGGTAGGCAACCTTGGCACTCTAGCTGCTGTAGAACTACAAGTCCCACGAGGCATAGCAAGACTCCCAGGGCCTGTTCCCACCATCTCTAGATCATAGCAGTTATAGTGCATGTTACCAGGGAAGGTGGGGGGTGGCAATTGGGTGCTGGCGGTGCACGTTACTGGGGGGGTTTGGGTGATGGACAAGGGTTTGGGGTGCTGGTGGTGCACAGTACCGCCCAGCTCACTGACATCACTGGTTGCCAGAGTGTCCTGCTCAGCTCTGAACATACAGGTGAAACTCGAATAATTAGAATATCGTGCAAAAGTAATTGCAGTAAGTGCTGCAAAAGGGGCCGAAACCAAGTACTGAGTACATATGCATGCTTGTACTTTTCAGAGGTCCGATATTGTTCTATGTACAATCCTTGTTTTATTGATTGCATGTAATAATCTACTTTTTTGAGGTTGTGGATTTGGGGTTCTTGGGGTTTTCATGAGCTGTAAGCCATAATCATCACAATTATTACAAATCACGGCTTGAACTATCTTACTTTGCATGTAATGAGTCTATCTCATATATTAGTTTCACCTTTTAAGTTGCATTAGTGAAATAAATGAACTTTGCACGATATTCTAGTTATTCGAGTTTCACCTGTATGTTGTGAAGGACTCTGGTTAATGCACTACAATGGAAAAAGGCAACTCTGATGCAACTAAACACCTCAACTGAATCTCAGGAAATATAAATATTCTACATACATTTGGGTATCATAACACCCTCAGTTGGCTCCTAGTTGCCGCCGTGTGGCTCCTGAATTCTGCGAGAATGTGTCTGCCATTTGCTTAATGCAAGACTGAGACTTAATGATTGGCTCCAGTGAGCTGAGATACTCAGCCACCTCGGTCTACTTATTGACCTGTGTAATTTTAAGGTGTTCTTCCCACGTCCTCTGCCTTGGCTGGGAAGATCTTTAATTATTCTCTGCGGTGAAATCCTGAATATCCCCACAACAAAGTTGGAATGTGCTACTTAAAGGAAGACGTTGTAGAAGACTTCCGATGAGACGTGAAGGAACTGTTTAACCGTCTCTCCTCCTGTGTATTTTGATCGCTTACTTCCTTCGTGGCCTCACTAGAGTTTCTTTACAACCTATTGTAACCCGCCAGTAGCAGCAGCCACAAAGTCACAAATGACTTACAGACACTAAGAAATGAAAGCAAGGTTGAGAAATCTGGCATGCGAGCGCCTCTGACAAATGCATTGTGGGAAATTTAATTGGAAGCCTGGAGCTGAACTGGTTTTCTAATTTTAAATGTGTGTGACCACATGGCAGACAAAGTCAAGAGCACGGTATTGCAAAATAATTCTATTAGAATATTTATACTGTTGAATGACTTTGTTTTTGGCTTTTTGAATGGCACCCTAATGTACAGCACATGCGTTTTTAGTGAACCTCAATGTACAGGTGTGAAAAATGATGCAGGTGCATTATAACCTGCAAAGTGGTGCATGGGCGGCCTATGATAGGCTGCCTTACTACCATGTACATTAACGCCAGTCAGCTTAGAGAGTGGGCCGTTATGGATAAGTGAACCCCGTGCCTAACCTGCATCTTTCAATAGGACGCCCCCTTTTTTTCTTGTGTCCAAGCAGGTGATTTCTGTAGATTTTAGCTGCAACAACTTAATTTCTGAGCCCAAAGGTGACCAAGCATTAGATACATTTTATCTTGTCAACAACCAATATTTGTGGTCAAAGCCCCACTGATACGTACCCAAGAATCGAGATGATGGACCTGCCTACAATGACCTGGGGTGTGCCACGGTCACTATGGTCAGTAGGCAAAATAAGGGGGCATACTGAGAGTAAAAGGTAACTGAAAAAAGGGGGTGAGGCGGGTGGAATGACGCCCACGAGCAGACAGGTGAGTGTGAGAGATGGAGCAGTTTAAATGTGTGGAGCTCCTCCCA